ATTGTATGCCACCTTTTTTTGCCCTCAGGCCCTCCTGGATGCCTTTACTTAGCCAAGGGGGCTTTTTAGTACTTTTGCCCCCTTTAGTTTGCGTTGGGACTGACTCCCTTTGATCTCAGAGGATCATCTCCTTAAGGAACAACCACCCGTCCTGGATTCACATCTCATTGAGGCTCTGAGTCCCTGGTGTCTCTCTTACTAATCTCCTTAGCTCATTGAAGTCGGCCCTCCTGAAGTCAAGGACTTTTGCCTTGGTGCTTGCTTTCACCACCCTGTGCTGTAAATTCCAGCAGACGATGGTCACTAATGCCTAGGTAGTTGAGCATCCAGACATCCCTCACCAGGTCATCACCTGTGGCAAGTCCAGCAAGGCATTTCCTCTGGTGGGATCGTGTACCTCCTGGGTTAGGTGGAGGTCCTGTATGCAGGCTAAAAACCTACATGAGCATTCAGACCTGGCTGACTGATCCTCCCAGCAGATGTCTCGGTTCCACTTACTATTCTTTCAAACAATATTTATTTTATATTCCTCTCATTAGTTGTTATGATAAGAATCATGCCATGCAAATGCAGGATGTTTCAATTTAAATTAGCCCAAACTAAACTCAAACAGACCCTGACTGGGGGCTTCCTACCATCTATGCTGATGGTACCTATGTGCCATCATTAGCAGCAAGCACCAGCAGTGTGTCCTTGATGCATCTTCTCCAAGTCCTTGCTCTGGAAAGATCTCTGTGATGGAGGACACAATCTCTCTTCTCCACTATTATCAGGGAAATAATATATTTTGTCCTTTATATGATTAGATTTTTTTCATGTATGTTACTATTCAAAAACATCTCACAATTAAGCTGAGCAGAGACAGCTTATCTAGGGATCTTTAAGAGCTAATTGAAAACCAGAATTTCTGCCTAGTGGAAAATTCTGATATTTCAACATTTCTCTCCTGAATTAGAATGAAAAGTTTAAATAAACATCACTTTGGAAATAACAAAATATTTTCCAGTTGGTTTAGAATCATGAGAAAGGGCTGGAAGTACCTCAGAAGGTCATTTAGTCCAGCCTCCTACAAGATGAATACTTTACATAAAAAAGCATAGGTTTTTTTTCTTCCAGTAAAGCATAAGGGAATTCTACTACTGAGTTCTGTTACGTTTTCCCAAGGTTTTGGCTACAGCTTGAGGCTGATTATACAAATAAACTCAAAGGCAGACGCACTAAACTTTATTATGAATTTTACTATGCATAAAAATATAACACTGCTATTATACATAGGGGTCTACCGAACTTGAGGAGGCAGTCAGCCAATTTCACCAGCAGAAGCTGGGGCAGCCCCCATTTTTGCAGGCTGAGGATGGCAGGGCCCCCCCATGCCTTTGGCAAAGGGACCCCAGCAGTCCTGCCCCTCCTCGCAGATTGCCAGATGGCCCCAAACCGCAGCTTAATTACCCTGATTAAGACCAGGGAAGCCATTAATCAAGTGTGGATTAATGGCTTCCCTGGGCTTAATCAGGGTAATTAAACCACGGTTTTGGGCCATCCTCATGTGGCAGCTCATTGCAAAACCCCTCCCCAAAAAACAAGCTTACCAGCAAGCAGAGAATCCCTGAAGTCTTGTAGCATGGGGGATAAGGTGGAGCAGGGAGGGCAGGGAGGAGGAGGGTTGGGATGGGGCTGCTCAGAGCAGCAAATGGGGCAAGCAGCCCTGCTCTGGGGCCACAGGCCATGTACAGAGCATTGACTATGGTGAACCCACAGGTGAACCCAGTAAAGTTATGAAGGGTTGGCAGTTTGCAGGTCATGCCTGACTCACTGCCCTCGTCCCCTTTCTTCCCTTCCTAGGTGGTAACAACCTGTTGCTCGGTGATCGGCTTTATTCAGGAATGCGCTGCAGGGGATGATTTTCTTGGTCAGAAGCAGAGGAGTGTGAAGATTTGGAGGGCATTGCTTTTGAATTTGGGACTTTTGGAGTTGTTATTTTACTTTCATATTTTATTCTGGTTCTATAATTTTTTCTCTCTTCTTGTAAGCTACCCTATGACATTTTGGGCAGGGTGGCATATAAATCTAATAAGTAAATCAGTGGTGTGTTACTATGGTACAGGTGCAGTTAATTTTGGTGAATCTAGCCCCTACAGTTCTTAAAATACCCTAGATCATCCTTCTGTGCATGCTTGCAGTTATTTATCACATTTCCCTAAAATTATATGACGAAGTTCATGTCTGGGTTATCCTCTCATGCCAAACCTATCATGGCAGACTCGGCACCTTCAAGCCATAGGCTTACTCCTATCTCTACTACCTAGAGGTGCTAAAGTTTCCCTACTTAAAGGCCTTAGTGCATCCTAAATTGTACTCTTTGAATTTTTGCAGTGATTTTCCATTTTGATTTTTTTTTTTTT